CCAGACCTCAAGGAAAAAAAGGAAGCCTGTGCAGCATGAGCAGCAGCTTTTACAAGTGTTGTTTTAGAGCACCCCGGAGGTCCATGAAGAAGGATCCCACAAAGAGGTGATACTCCCAAGCGAGCAAATGCTTCGGAATGCCTTAATGGCCACTCAACAGCTTGTTGGAGCTTTTTCTGTATCATAAATCAAGTAAACTTATTGTTTGAAGATATTTTACCCGGACATACCAAGATCCGGCCTGATAATGATTATTTGGTAGTATAGAAATGCTCTTTATTTTGCAAGTAGAAGAATAAGTATAGTGATGTTACCAAATGAAGCCCAAGGCAACAAGTGCAAACCTTTATGTCTTTAAGTCCTCCAATATCCTCCCATGAAACCTTTGGAACTTCCACAACTACACCTCTTGTTATACTAGGACCAACAACAGACCTAGCATGCCTCCAGTCATCCATTGTTATGTACCAAGAGCCATCTAATTGATTTGATTTTGATGATTCCCTAAACGCAGACATAAAAGCTTCGCGACATAAAGCTTCCAAATCTGCACCAACATAACCATTGCAAGAAGCAGCAATCGTCCGCAGGTCAACATTGGGTTCCAATGGAAGCTTCTTTGTGTAAAGCTGCAATGCATCAACACTAAGATCACTCGCCAGCAATTCCAAAAACCTTAAACAGTATTATATTTGTTATTCATGTAGAGGACAGATTTATTTGACAACCTAGTTACAATAAGGCCAACAATAAATATTTTTCTCTTTATCGGTGAATCCTTCTCCAGTAATAACCTGGACAATAATAAGGCCTACAATAAATATATTTCTCTTTAACCATAAATTGTTTTATTAGTCTTTTTTGTAAATATTAGAGCTTCAGAGGGAATCGGAGGTCTTCATTTTTTTTCCTGTATTATCCACAGGTTCATGCGGTATCTTTCCTTGCAATTTGTATATTTTCCCGCCATTCTGATCAAAATAATTCAACAGACACCTCAAAAATATAGACTTAAAGTTGTGCACTTTACATTGAGGATATGAAAGCGTTCATCTTCATTAGGGGTTGTGACTTCAATCTCAGCATCAAAACGCCCAGACCTTCTTAGAGCCGGATCGATTGAATCCACTCTGAACATACATCACATGAACCTAACGTTAATC